CCCAAACAGCCCCAGCAGAAACATGATGTTTCTCCTACAGAATCAACAACTCATTGTACTGTCTAACACTGTCCCCCTTATTAGAGGCTTTTGTTCTCCTAATGGTGATTGATTGGGCAGGCATTATGGGGTTGTTGTTTTTCCTACTGAAGGCCATCAAGAACATGTCCAAATTTCGTGGCTATCACATTAATCAAAGGGAAACAAAATCCAAGGACAAGAAGCTAAACAGATGTTTTAAGAATGTGAGACAGGGGCTGTAAAATGCACAGTCTGGTTTGATGTGTAAGGTCGGTTTGTTTGGTGCACATGAACATTGGAATCTCACAGGAAAAAGTTTCTCACCTGTTCCCTGGAGGATGGGAATGGATGAATTCTGACAAATTCATGTCTCTGCACTGCTGTTTGCTCTATCCACATGATCCTTACTCAGCAGCAGCTACGAGTACCAGTGTGTGCCTGCTCCACCCTTAATGACAGCTCCAAACACAGCAAAGAGTGGGGACAACAAAAAAGTGCCCTTCACTCTCCCACCCCTTCAAAAACAGCCCCAGGTGAGCCCTTCTGCCCGAGCACCACTGCTTCCACCACACCATCAAAAATTCACCCCRAAAACAGGAGGAACACAGGAATCCACAGCCAAATCCAAAGGAAAACTGACCCAAAATGGAGACTTTGCTCAGGAACTCTTCGTACATCTTCCGCTTCCTCAGAGTGCTGCCCTGTCATTACAGGAGAGAGAAAAASGAGGCAGAGCGTTACACAAGGTATTTTTGTGATTTTCTTCCTACAGCTGCTCTTTTCGGTTTGTTTTTTTGGTTTTTTTTTGTTTTTTTTCTCTCTCCTTCCAACTCTTAAGCATAGCCAGTGTAAACAGCCTGGGGCAAACGTTTCCCCATAAAATGTCTGGGCAAGTTGTACTGCTGATAAGCAAAGACAGAAGGACTCAAATTCAATCCTGCTGTAATTTCACTGACTTCACTGCTGTTGCTGGACACTGCAGATGAATTGTGTCCATTTACATTATCCATTTACATTTMTCCATTCATTTGAAAGCCTGAACTTCATCAATTAACTGTTTAGCTAGTTCAATATATACCTGATTGCCAATGAGGCTATTTGCAATTACAAATTAGGATAAAACTTGAAATGTCCCCCCTCATGGGTGCCATTCTTTTAGGTTAAAAACCCTTTAATGCCAAATGTGTTTGTCTGTAAGCCTGGTTAATATTCTGTACAGTGTTRTATCTATTGTTATGCTGAGCAATCYGTTTATATTATTATTTTAACAAGWTTTAARYATTTGGGGGCAGACAATTTATCAATGTGTGTGCAGCCACCAGCACAGCCATCCCCACCCTACCCAGATTTTGTTGTGTGATAAATTTCCCAGACACCTTCTCCTCAAACAGTGTTTGATCAGCAGGACAGAAACCACAAGCTGCCGTCCCAGCACGCACCTCTGAAGGTGATTCATGTAGGAATCATCACRGTGAAGTTTTACCAATACAAAAATAATGAATTCGTCCTTAATTCCTTAAAAGATTTGTAAAGAAATTCTTCCCAGGTACCAAAGAGGAATTTCAGGGCCTGCCTTGGTGCTGTGCAGTTTGTTCCACACTGGTGACACCCCAAATCACTCCTGGGGTGATTTCCTGGGATGCCAAAGGCTGCCTGGTGCCCAAATCTACAAGGCACAACACGAGGATGACACAGTCATCTTCTCAAGAAAAGGGAAACAAAGATGGCATTCATTCACAGACTGGGCAGAGGATGGAAGCAAATGTCAGTGTCTGCYASAGAAAAAGCCACTTTTCTATCCYTCCTCCTCCAAGTGACCACCTGTARGTGCTGGAAAAGYGGGGACAGAGAAGGGAAAASGAGGAGATGCATTTTTGCCYTCCAGCGTGAAAGCATCCAGGAGTGTTTTAGGTATGAAAGTGGGGATAGGATGTGCTCAAGGGCRATGACAGAATTAAGAATTAAATCTCATCCCTCTTCCTACAGGTGCTGTGCAGGTGGGGCTGCAACAACCCCCAGGAATCCTTCCAGCAGCATCMCCAGGCTTTGSCTCCAGCCTGGCACCAGCTCCTGTTTGTGCCCTGTCCCGGGGCCAGCCCTGCTCCCAAACAGCCCCAGCACCCTCTGGAGCTGCCATTCCTCCCAGTTAGCCCTGGACCAGCAGCAGCAGCAGCTCCCCATTCCCCCTGCACACCCCATCCGTGGCTCTGGGGCTGTTGATGACAGCTCTCCTCAGCGATAGCATCGCTCACCCTCCCCTGACCCCTCTGTCTGACAAACTTGCTGCTCAACCTCGGGGGGCCCCGGCAGCATTTGAAGTGCCAGAAAGCTAAAAAAAAAAAAAAAAAAAAAAAAAAAAAAAAAAAAAAAAAAAAAAAAAAAAAAAAAAAAAAAAAAAAAAAAAAAAAGAAATAAAAAAGTGAAGAACTTCAAATGCAGGAGGCTCTGCAAGCTCCTGACAGCTCGAAGAATGGAAAACTGGACAGTGCACAGTTGGTGCTTCCCTCCCTGCCAGCCAGGGGAAAAGGAGAGTGGCAAAACTGACAGCTGTGGAAAACCAGATTGGTGGTTTRGGTTTGATGGGCTGGGACACCCAGGGACAGATGTGCAAAAGGCTTTTGAAATGCCTTGCGGACACGGGTGAATTTTAAGAAGCAGTAATCACAGCCCAAAGTGCTGCCTGACCACAGCTTTGTGTATTTAGAGATGCAGACAAGAGCCAGGAAGGTGGGAACTGCAGAGGAAGAGCCCACCACTTCCTCCAGGACTGCAGGTGTGTTATCCCTCAGCTGAACTAAGCAGGGCAACAGTACAGAATCCACAGTGCCAACAAAATCCCAAAGTGGAAGTAATTAATTTTAAAAAAATGTGCTGTTACGATTTTTTATATTGACAGTACCAAGAACCCCTCTCAAGTCAGAGCTACCTTGATTGAATATCCCATTTTAGGATGATTTAGAGGGAAGGGATGACATGGGGCCAGGGAAGGACAGGGGCTCAGGCTGGTCCCAAAACAGGCTCTGAAGGCCAAGGTGACCCAGCCCATGGCTCCATCCCTCCATCCCTTCCTCCTCCTCTCCTGGAGGACACAAACAGCAGCCACCCAAGAGCAGAGCATCACCTCAGGCACTGCAGCTCCCTCTGCTTTCCCAGAGCATCCAAGGCTGGACCCAGCTGGCACAACCAGATCCCAAATTCAATTCCAGGCAGGAAAAGCTTGGCTCACCCTTATGCACATTGTTTTTATTTGAGTGTGTTTTCCTGCTCAAGCTTTCAGGAGCAGGGTGAGGGGAAGGATTTTGAGRGATCAGAGCTAAAAACAGCCCAGCAGCACAATTACAATCAACCATCCCTGGGTTTATCTCCACTGCCATTAACCACCTTTCCTCCAATGAAATAGAGAGAAAACACGATCAAAGAGGAGATTGTGTTGGAAAGGACCTTAAAGATCACCTGGTTCCTTCCACTGTCTTTGTCCAGCCTGATATTCCTCTCTCATCCCCTCCCATGGGCACAATGCCTCCTCTGCCTCCAGATATCCTTTTCATACTTGTTTTATTTAACTGCTTTGCCCAAAATTGCAGAGGCCAGGGGTATGAGCACATCACAATCTCCTCTCCTACCCTTCAGGTATCTTCTGAAGGCACCACAGGTACCAATTTGTGCATTCCCTGGCACGTGTGCCAAGCCTGTCCTCACACAATATTTTCATGGATCTTCTAGRAGCAGCAACAAATAAGACAGAACCAACATTTACAGAGTGTGAGATGCTATGGAGGCTCACCAGAGCAGGAAAACAACAAGAAAGGATCAGCAGATACTAGAAATGTGACTAGAAAAAATAATAAAACGAGCATCCATTTGGAAAATAAAACTAATTAAAAAAAAATCCAAAGCAGAGATGTTTGAGAAACAGAAGACCTGAAAGTTGTAAAGCTGAAAGAGATTTCACAGACAGGAGGTGAGACCTGCAAAAGGCTGCAACAAAAACTCAGCCAAGGCTATTTTGGTCTGCCCATGCAAAGATATCATCCAGGAATGAAGTTTAGAGGCTCCATCTCCGTGGCTCAGATGCGACGGCGCCTGGTGTGCCGCATTCTGTCTCCAGAAATGTGCTCCCAAATCCAACAGAGCTTGAAGAAATGCTGAAACACTGATAAGGAAGGAGCAAAACAAATCCAGCCCGTGTTGGGTTGGCTCAGCCATGGGATCACAGGTATGTCRTGCTCATAGCTGGCATGCACTGTGGCAGGGTTTGAAGCAGACAGTGATAATTATCTACAGATAGATGGCAAAAAGTGAGGGCAATTCAGTACAGCATAACTTGACATTGCTCGAAGTAATAGGGGGGAAAATTAAGAAAATCTAATTTAAGATCAATRTGGAAAAAGTTTTCCAGTGAAGGAATTATTCTCTCGCTGAGAAGTTTCCCAAGGGAAGCGGTAGAAATCTTACAGCTCAAGCCAGATAAAAACAATAGTAAATGTACATGAATAATTCTGCACTGGCAGGGCTCTTGATGGCATGTTTTAAGAAGTCTTTATTAATTCTGCTTTTTTTTCTAACCTATTAATATCTTATTTCAATAGTCGCTGCTTTTTCCTCTCCTTTGTTCACTTTCTCCCTGGCTCTGAGCTGTCAGGCACAAGCTCATCTCCTCAAAGGCAGTGGCTCTCATTAACTACGAAGCCTCGTTAATATTCCAAGCTGCAGTGCTCCTCCCTGAGACAGCCCCAAGGAGAAACGAGATCGTTTTCACCCCTCAGATCCAGAAAAGGCCTTAAAGCCATTTTTAGGACCATTTAATGTAGCAAAGCCTAAGCTTAGCTTGAGCAATACACAAAACTGGGGAAAACGAGCACCCAGAGATGGTAACAGGTCCTGTTGAGTTCCTATTCACCATCTCTTCCATCTCATTTCCAACTGCCCTTTCCCTTTTTTCTTCCATTTTTTCTTCTCACTCCTCCAGTCCAAYCTCTCTTTGTCCCTCCAGTGCTCTCTGTGTCTTGTTCCTGACTCATTTTTCAGGTGGAGTTGATCGAGTCCTTCCTAGCAATGCCCACCTTCAGCAAGCAGACAAACTAAAGTTGAACAAGAGGCAAAGCATGACTTGAGTTTCAAAGGAAGAGTTTTCATGGCAGGAGGTGCCAGAATGGACTTCAGGACTGCACAGCCCCATTTAATCCCTGATTAACCTCATCCTGGGTGATGCTTAGGGTGCACAATCTTCTGGAGCACAAAAGAAAGAGCCCCTGAGTGTTCTGGCCATGAAGACCAAGCAGGTTTTGGTGCTCTGTTCTACACCAAGTGCAGTGCAGCCTTTGGGGTTGTTTTATGCTTTGGCCACCACACAATCTACATTTTATGGCAACTCAAAATCCTCCTGACTTTATTTTGTCTCAGCAGAAAAAAAAAAAAAAAAAGGCACCCGTTAAAGAATTGGTTCTCAGGTTCAAAGCTGTGAAAAAGCAGTAGAAGAAACCCAAAAGAGCATAAATAAAATGAAGAATAACGTTAGGAACTGACTGTCCTTGATTTGCCACAACTTACAAACCGATATTACAAACTCAGTTTCTGTGAGCAAAGTTTGCCAAGTAGGCCAAATGTGTTGAATCCCTTACAAGTGCAGWCTCAGAGCCAGGTATCTGGGAGCATGGAAACGTGAGGGTGGTAAAACTGTCCTGAATCAAATCTTCTTAAAGAAGGAATTGCAAGAAATTAATACTGTKAATTTTCTCAGTCTGGGAACTGAATTGTCATGGGGATCGATCTGATGTTGGGATACAGACATTTGCTTCTCTGGTATTTGTGGTATTTGCTATATTTAGAGTACAAATATTGTACTACCCTGGGATGTTCCCCACTCCGTGATGCTCTCGAATCCAAATTGCGAAGAGAGCAGAGACTGAATTCCATGAGAAGCCTATGGCAAAAAAAAAAGTTTAAAAATCCTTTGCTGTCTCCCAGAAGAATGTAAGAAAATAAATGTTGGATTTATACCCAAGTGTGTGTGTCTGCACCCGTGAGCACACACACAGAGAACATACACATAAAAGAATTTGCAGCAGAGTGAGAAGAATGTAACTCAGCAGAGATGGTTCTRTGATTCTATGAAATAAAYGGAACACACAGATGGACAGAAAATTTGTGAGTGTCCCACTGAGGGAACASGTCCAAGTGGTTTTTTGTGACCCACCTAGCACAGTGAATTTCATGGTGTGTTCATTTCAGGGCTGCAGTGAAAGATGAGCGATTTCACTGCACATTTTGACAAAAAAAAACCCCATCCCAATGTTTGACATCATCTCAGCTGCTAAAACAAACTTGACTGTGACCTTCAAGCCATCCCAGTACCTGAGCTGAGACAATGAAATATAAAGAAATGTATCTGTTTCAACAAACTTCCTTTGGGACAGGCCTAATAATAAATGGGTGACAACTGTAAAAAAAAAAAGGTAAAAGCCAGCAGGAACTTTCTGCATCGGGCTTTGTCCATCCATGAAAAGGAAAACCCAAACTCCAAACCCCCTGAGGTGCATTTTATTCAYACCATAAACCAGTCAGGATCAATGAGACACATAAGTGGGGAAAATGGCACTGAGCAGAAATAAAAACAAGAAATTATTAAATGCAAAGCAAAGGACCAAAATGGAGCCTGCAAGGAGAAACGAGGTGGAGAGTCAAGTGTCTCATGACAGGATAAAAATCTTTTTGGCAAGTGTGGATCTGAAGGCATGATTTGCAAATAAATATTTACAACTCGAATAAAATTTCAACACTTGACTGAGAAAACACGGGGCTGGTCATGGCAGGGAAGGAATGCAGACGAGAGAAATAACTATCTGTGCTTATGGAGGGGCTTCATCTGACTGCAGAAAAAAAAAACTGGGGGAAAAAAGGTCATTTATTCCTTGGACAAAAGGATTTGCAACCAGAAAATAAAAAAAAAAAAAATTAAAAAAAAATAAAGGGAAACTTGCTTGCTCCCAAGTTTTAAAACCATCTCAAATTATAAATTTCAAAAGATACCCTAAGCATTACTGCTCTTTATTAAAAGGTAGAAGCATTTCTACATCCAAAATACCCAGTTGGAGGCTAAATGGTACAAAACCACATTTCTGGGAGTTGAGAGTTGAACCGAGCACAGCAAGAGCAGCCCCACGATGGTGCAGCCAGCTGCAAGTATGAAATGCAGCCACTGAAACATGATGTAATTAATTCTCAGGCTTGAGGAAATGTGCAGAGAGCCCCTGGAACCTGCCCTCACACGACTGCACAGAGACAGGTGTCTCATTTCACCTCCAGCAACAAAATCATCCACCCTGCACCCACAAAGAAATGGAAAGGTGACAGAACTCATTCAGTGTGGATGGGGAAATTGCATTCATTGTGGACAGCATTTAAAATTGGACATTTTCTATACTTGCAGCAATTAATTCATGCTTTTTGAAATTAATTCATGCTACTTGAATTAATACTATGCTATTTGAAATATTTCCTATCTGCTTGTTGGGGATACCACAATAATGCTCTCTGGGTATCCAACACAATGCAACAAACCCCCAATTTTTAATGGCTCCAGCTGTAAAAAAACATGAGAAGAGAGAGAAGAAGAGAAAACATGTCCATTTAATGAGAAGGTCTCATGGATCACAGAAACTGAGCCTGCAAGGTAAGGCACAGCAGTCACTGCTCCAGAGAATATGTAAATTAATTTGGAAAGCACTTAGCACTGTGTTAGAATCAAACAGGAGTACAACCAGAATGTTTAAGTTGTATKTATGACCAAAGCTAGCATTAAAAACAGAGTATTTTCCTCTTGGGACTTTAAATCCTTTTAGCAAAATCCTGTCTGTGCATCAAATATTCATYTTCTGAAGTGTGCTATCAGATGGTAATGGACACACCACCAAACATGACAGCTCACAGGGCTGGCTGATTTTTGGGTACCTCTAGTTCCATCAGCACCAGCRCTGAAATCACCTCCAGGCTGCAAATCCTGTGAACCTGTCCCTTCAATTCCTCACCACAAGGTCACAGGCAGCTGCAGAAAGCTCTGCTTAAAAAGTTCTGCTTAAAAAGCCAAGGAATATGTGCCTTGTCCTGACATTTATTTCTCTCCCCACATTCCTTCTCTTYTGAATTTTGGATTTTTCACCAGTTATCCCAGACATCCCTCCACTGCATCCATGAAGGACATGGGGTAAGTAAGTTGGGTGTGCCTCTTGCATTTCTTTAGAATTTCTGCTACTCCATTTCTCCTACTCCCACTCTGCCTGCCTGCACTGGGAACCTCTCAAAAATACCCACAYGAGAGAGGACAAAACACTCCTCATAATTATTCCTCTATTAGGTCTTGGAGCCACCAGGATGGGTATTTTGGGATCCATTTCCAGCAGATGTTCTCTCCCAGATGTTGGTGTGATGTTTGTTCCATGAACCCAGCCCATGGAATGGAGAGTGGACACCAGCAATGCTCACACAGGACAAACAGAGATCACTTTTACACTCTGCTGCTCAAGAATTAATCATTTCAGTGTAAAATCTACCCAGTTCCTTTGCTAGTTTTTCTGTTTTCTCTGACACCCACTGGAAATAYAGATGATCTCAAAATTGTGAGTCTGAGACCACAGTAAAATTTCCTTCAGATCAGAATCCAACAATGCTGCTTTTAGGGACAAGTCCTGTTGAGAAATCAGCTTTACATAGGGAAAAGTCTGTTAATTATCAAAAAGAAAGGAATATTTTATGGAGGAGGAAGACGTGAACACGGACATCGGAAACAAACTCATAAAAAAGTTAYGACTTTGCTGCAGTTAATTATCTGTCAAAGTTTCCATTATAAGCTCACCACTGGAGCACCAAGAGCAAATCCATGAGTTAGAACACGCCCCAGGTGCCCAAAGATCTGCAGGGCTCTGCTGAAGGATAAGGGAGCTCAAAATGAGCAGAGAAATAAATCATTAGCAGCCACAACCCCACSATTTSTGTGCCTGGCTGACACACACACRGAGGGCACAGTCCAAACAAGATTTGTTATTATTTTAGATTTGGAGCTGGATTTAATTTCTGCCACCTGCCCCGAGGAATGCAGCAGAGGATCAGACAAATGCTGCACAGGCAAGGGGTGCTGCTGAGAGGCATTTCCAGGCTCACATAAGCCTGGAAAAAAAAWGATTTGCATAGCTCTGGTGGGTAACAGAGGCCTCCTGAGGTTTYCATTCACAGAGCAGTTCTGCATAATGTTTCTCAATCACATTTCTGACTCAGCTCCTCGCTGCTCAATCCTGGCCCCTTTTTCTCTCAGCTCACTTCATTCAGGCACTCGGGGATTTTTCCACATGTGTGGAAACACCAGAGCACTCCGAACTGCAAAATAAAATTAAAAAACCAACTCCACGATCATCCTCCCCACAAACTCACCATCAGGATGCGCCTGTAGCTGTCTCTGTCGATTCCCCAGAGTTTCAGGTCTGTTTTGGCTTTGACAGTGGCAGCCCGGGGGGTTCCGTAGATCAGCGCCAGCTCCCCAAAACTGCCGCCCTCTCCAATGCTGGTCACCCACTCCCCGTTGACATAAACCTTTTAAAATGAAAAAAAAAACAGTTTGGAAACTTTGCTTGAGCTCTCCTGCTGCTGCCAGTTATCTAAAAGGGTGTAATTAATTTCCTTCTTAATTGTTGATGTTGG